GAACCACAAAAAGAGCTCAATGTATTTATTATTACAAAGCTTATAATTAGTACACAATAAAATACAAAATTATCTTATATATATATATATATATATATATATATATATATATATCATTGTATAATAAAGGGATTCAAATGAAAGTTTAAGTATATTTAGTATTTAAGGAAAATCAAGAAGAATTTTAAAGACATTAAATTTGAATGAATAATAAAGGGAAAATTATTCTTTTTTCACTGCATTCAATTAAATAACAAGATTAAACTTTGTTCGGAATATTGTCCTCATGTTTGTTGCCGAGTTCTCCACCGCCTTAACCAAGTATTGAACTCACAATCTTTGGGTCCTGTCCTTTGGGAATTAACAGGAGATAACTTATAACTGACATCCATTAAACATGGCACGTGGAACTAGAACAGTCTACCCCAGTGAGCGAAATAAATAGTTCAGTTCGACATTCCAACCAACTGAAGAAGGCCGGAGCGTACAGCGGCCGAAACTTTGTGATAAATATGGCAACAAAGATGAGGACAATAGTCCGAACAATGTAAGTAGTGTACATAATACTTCATCTCAGAAATATAGTAAGATTAAACTTTGTTTTACAAATAACAAGTTCAGCAGAGTGAAAGCAATTATAAAAAGAGAGTGATCCCCTAGCCGATAATGAACTGCGTGAGGATTTTGATAATGACCATTCTGTTGTAAGCGCTGAGAATCCCAATTACGAAACCCATAGCCCATAAGAATCGTAGGGGTAACACACGTACTGCAACCGCAGTAAAAGTGGAATTCCATTGGGAATATAAACAGCCCTCTCGAGTCGAGTTTTTTCTTCACTTTGACAGGTTGTCACTCAACCTAAGGCTATAGGAGCCATCCCGTCCTGCTATTTACCCGTAAGATGAGGGTAGCTGAGGAAGAAGAGATGGATTCATACCTTTCCTAACGTACAAGTGAATGTAATGAACTCGACTGGAATTCAAACTCGGCTCTTCCATTTCTCAACCCGAACCTTTAATCCAACGTCCTCAGAATAGGCATTTCATTCACATACTCTGGTACAAAACTAAATAACGATAAACGAAGTCTTTCACTCACTACGTGCTTTTCAAAAATAATTTGTTAATCATCTCTTAACGTAAACAAACTTAAATATCTCTTTAATTCAGTGATATAATATATCGACGTTTTCAAAGAGCCATCGAATTAATTATGCCATAGATTACAGATATGGGTTGTAAAGTGATCGATGCTTCATTAGATAAGCAAAGATATGAAAATCTTTTTTTATTCTTCGTTTTTGGTCGTTATATATTGAATTAAAAGTCTGCAAGTATGACTCAGATTGGTTGCATTGTCCAAACACATTGGCAGAGACGGAAGAAACAAAAAAATATTCGATAAGAAAACTGATTTTAGACAAAGCATCAATCAAGAACAAAAGCAAAAACATCCTTTTACAAAGACGAATTGAACTTCTTGAAACTTTTTGACCGGAGATAAGCAAGTAGAAAATCGAAGACGAATTTCATTGCTTATCTCTTTAAAGAAACAATTAAAAATTCACAGAAGTCCAATGGTACATGGTTTTTATTTTAAAATCAAAGCATTATTTATACAGAAGAAAATATTCAAATTTTGCGATATACTTTGGTTCAATGGAACGAAGAGAATCGACATTTCAAAGCCGAGGTATCTGAAGGGAAAATAATCAGAACCGTCTATCCCCGTGTATTGAATAAAGGGTTTAGTTCGTTATCCCCAAAACATTTGCAGAATAAGATTGACACCTGAAGAAGGACAGGGGATAAAACGACCGAAACGTTGTAACTATAACTGATGTTACGACTTCATTTGTATTAAAAGAACCAACAAAAGAAACCCTTGCCTTCTTACAAATGTGAAAATCCACGCAGATATAAAATGTCTGTTTAAAAAAAAAAACATCAATAAAAATAAAACATCAAGCAAAATAACATCAAGAAATATAATTTATACTTCGCACAAGTTATTATATAAAGAATTGAGCAATATAAAACAATTCCTTATCCACACACATTTCCTCAACTACGTTCGTCAGATAGCAATGGAAATTGGCATTAAATAATTTAAAAAAAAGAAATTAACACATTTTGTACACTATTTACATTATTCAGACTATTGCCCTCATTTTTGTCGCCATATTTATTACAACGTTTCGGCCGTTGTACGCAACCGGCCTTCTTCAGGTGGCTGGAATGTCGAACTGAACCCTGTATTTCGCTCACTGGGGTAGACTGTTCTAGTTCCACGTGCCATATGTAATGGATTTCAGTTATCAGTTATCTCCTGTTAATTCCCCTCTCCAAGTTCTCCACTGCCTTAACCGGGTATTGAACTCACACTCTTTGGGTCCTGTCACTGGATCTAACCAATCTATCTTTATCCACTGTACCATGTGTCCTCAGGGACACAATGGCAGGAACGTTGTAATAAATATGGCGACAAAGATGAGGACAATAGTCCGAATAATGTAAATAGTGTACATAATACCTCATCTCAGAAATATAGACAGATACTAACACATTTTGATATACAAAAATAAAACCATTATTAATACTCTAATTTTATTCGGACTATTGTCCTCATCCTTGTTGTTTTTATCATAACGTTTCGGCCGCTGTGACTTCCAGGCTTCCTCAGGTGTATATCGATCTTGATAACCTAAAGGAAATTCCGAAATAAATGGCATGGCTAATCATTTGTGTAGTTAAAAGGGTGGATATCACTTCCTATGAAAATACTGAACAGGGACGAACAATGGAGAATTAGACATTTGAAAGAATCAACACCTACAGGCTATAAGGATCCCCTTAGTAGGCCTAGCATAGAAATAAATACAATATGGGAGCCGTTAATAAATAAATAATGACAAATGACAGAAAGTTTTCAACCGTAATTAATAATTACTATTCCCTATATTTATTAGTTACTATAAAACGTTTAAAACATTTGACTTGATTATTACTAATAACTCGATACCCCAAAAATAGTCCTTATGTAAAAGCAAATGCAGTTTATAAATCCTCATGTCCTTTGGGGGGGGTGCCTCTTTAATGCCAATAATAAAAAAACAACTTTAAATTTTTACATTGGTCAGCGAAACGCTACACTCTCTCGTAGGTTAACTTATCGTGTATTGATTGTCATATTACAACCAAAATACAATATAAGACAAATATTTGTAAATTATAACGAAATACTATTTAGCACTCACTGTAAAAAAAGGTTCAAAATACTCGAATCTATTATTACAAAGGGAACAATGAACATTAAATAGGAATATCACTCACCACAAGGGGCAACCTTTTTAAAATTTGCATCCATTATTTAAAATGTGTATGAAATATTTACTCGTTTTCGTTTTTTTTCTGGAATGTCAAACCTCTGTGAAATTGCTCTACACATGAGATCACTTGCATAAACATATATACTTAAATTTGAAATGTAGCGTTCCAAAAATACAAGGATGTTTGATAATTGTCATCACTTAGACCTTCAGTAACTTATCCCTGCTTCTCACTTTGTACAAGCTAAACTTAGTCAATATCACATATATCACTAACATATTATATGGCGTCTGGCCAAAGAAATAAGACGCTAATCTCATATACTATAACTAGTATAGTGCATTCGATCTCCATTGACGCCCTTATATTTATAGACTTTTGTCAGACTTGGCTACGCTTAGCTAATATTTTATTACAAGTCTTTCATTTAGTTATGAAGAATTCCGAAGAAACATACATTGTTTTCTCTGACAAAATGAAAATATTAATATATTAAAAACCAAAACTACATCAGCATATTTGCAGAGAAAATTGAATGGTATATAATTGAAACCAATTCTTTGTTCTCAATTTGTGGCCCTTTTCCATCTTTTCTATTTATCGTTTCTTTTTCTTTTTTTCAAATGAATATGATTGTTGTTTCTTAAAGTAAAAGCAATGGGAATGAATTATCTTGTTTGTTGATAAGATCTTATTTTGCTCCGGCAAAGAAATGATTCAAATATATCAGGAATAAGCATAAAGAAAACCACTCAGAAGAATGAATAGAAAAAGTAGTTTATTTCGGAAATCGCTCGCACTGAGCCTTTGTCACTTCGAAAAAGATAAATAGAGTTTTCCATTGCTTCCCATTTCTATGGACTTTCGACAAAAATCAAATGAAATTAACGTAAATCGAAGAAAAATACGAATCAATCAATAAAATGTACAAATATATGGCATTATTTGATTCATTAATACACTATCCAAAGGAAAACGGGAATATACGAGACAACTGACATAATGTGGTTAATTGTTAAGCTTAGTTTAATAGGCACAACACTCGCCACTCTTGTGAATGGTGTGAGAGGCTAGTTCAAAGACGATTGAACTTGGTGAAGATCGAACTCGCCACTCTTGTGAATGGTGTGCGTGACTAGTTCAAAGACTATTGAGCTTGGTGAGGATCGAACTCGCCACTCTTGTGAATGGTGTGCGTGACTAGTTCAAAGACTATTGAGCTTGGTGAGGATCGAACTCACCACTCTAGGGAATGGTGTGCATGACTAGTTCAAAGACTAATGACTTTGGTGAGGATCGAACTCATCACTCTAGGGAATGGTCTGCGAGAGTCTAAGTCACGTAGATTGGTATAGTGTTGTATGATAAGAACACACATCAAGGATCGATTTCACACTACTAATGAATGGTCTAATTCGAAGTATTACTTTCGAAGCAATTTTTCTATTTTGTCTCTGTGTCTGTCTTAAGTATTCATAGACATTTTTAAAAATGCAGTGTTTTTCATATACTGACGCGCAAACCATTTGATTAATAGTAAGCAGTTGAACAGAAAAATATCTTACCGACGATAATTTGAGACGTGGACATCTTAAAATAGTCACCACACAAATATATTTCCCATTTTCACGATTCAATTTGTTTTTTAATATAGAATATTTGATGCCAATGGGAGAATCATTGTGCGAAGACATTATTACTAGAAAGAAATTTGTAATATTTCCAAGTTACAACTTTTCACGTGCAGACAAATATTGGATAGGCCTTCTCAAGGGTAATGGAAATGTCAGCCATTTTATGCATCTGTCAATCTGGCTGACTATCTATCTAAATCTATACCTATTAAATTTCGTTCATATCTGTCTGTCTATCTGTTTATCTTAGTGTGTTTATATCTATCTATCCATCAACGCGCAGTCGGGCAGAGTCTCTCGATTGGATCTCTTCTTCCTTCCTCCGTCTTCCCGGTACCAACCCATATTTATATGGTCGGTACTCCACTTATGTAAATTAGGTGGATCGTACCACAACACTTGTCTATCTATCTATCTATCTATCTATCTATCTATCTCTGTTCCTTATCTATCTATCTATCTATCTATCTATCTCAGTCTATACCTATTCCAGTTCGTTCATATCAGTCTGTTTAGTTTATTATGTTCACATCTATCTATCTATCTATCTATCTATCAGCCTGTCTCTCTGTCTATCTATCTATCTCGGTCTATTCATATCTATCTATCTATCTATCTATCTATCTGTCAGTCTCTCTAACTACCTATCTATCTATCTATCTCGGTCTATTCAGATCTATCTATCTATCTATTTACCTAACTATCTGTCTGGCTGTCTATCTATCTATCTATCTATCTCAATTTATTCAGATCTATCTATCTATATGTTATGATCCGGTTCCTTGTACCACGGTGATAGTCCAAGGTAGAACCAATAAAGAAGAACGTGAACACAGATATGGAATAACACAGATATATTACAAACAGGAATATATACAGAGAAGTAGAAGTGTTAGTATGAACATCAGGTTTAGTAGAGAGAACAATGTAGTCTCGACCAGTATCACTATTCCAATATCTTGCAGTAATTGTCTGAACGCGACTCTGTTTCGGACTGCCTCTGACTCGACTCTTGACTCGACTTGAACTACTGACTCAATTTGAACTACTGACTGACGATATTCAGTCACCCCCCCTCACGAGGGTGTCATGTGGCACAAGGCCTTTTTAACGTGGGCATTCCTAAGCCATTAGGCTCGGCCAAAAAATAGCCCATTTGAACCCGTATAAACGGGTTCTGGGCCGGTTTTACCTCCCCGAAGGAGACTCCGCCCTTCGGCGTAGCCTCCTTCGGGTTCCTCCCGCCCGTAGGAAGAGAGTTTAACCGAACAGTCTGTAGTGAACTACGGACTGAAAATATTCAGTCCCCCCACGAGGGTGTCATGTGGCACAAGGCCTTTTTAACGTGGGCAATTCCCAAGCCATTAGGCTCGGCCAAAAAATAGCCCATTTGAACCCATATAAACGGGTTCAGGGCCGGTTTTACCTCCCCGAAGGAGACTCCGCCTTTCGGCGTAGCCTCCTTCGGGTTCCTCCCGCCCGTAGGAAGAGAGTTTAACCGAACAGTCTGTAGTGAACTACGGACTGACAATATTCAGTCACCCCCACCCACGAGGGTGTCATGTGGCACAAGGCCTTTTTAACGTGGGCATTCCCGAGCCATTAGGCTCGGCCAAAAAATAGCCCATTTGAACCCGTATAAACGGGTTCTGGGCCGGTTTTACCTCCCCGAAGGAGACTCCACCCTTCGGCGTAGCCTCCTTCGGGTTCCTCCCGCCCGTAGGAAGAGAGTTCAAACCGAGTAGTCGGTTCAAAAGTGAACTGTTGACTGACTTATGGCCTACTCCTGAGGCGCGGTATTTATTAAGTATAGAATAGTCCATTTTTATTATTATGGGTAAGATCCCATAACACTATCTATCTATCTATCTATCTATCTATCTATCTTTCTCGGTCTATTCATATCTATCTATCTATCTATCTATCTATCTATCTATCTATCTGTGTTCGTATCTCTGCCTGTCTGCTTATCTATTTGTCTATCTATCTCAGTCTATACCTATTCCAGTACGTTCATATCAGTCTATTTGTTTCTCTTAGTGTGTTTCTCTCTATATATCTATCTCAGTCTATACCTATATCAGTTCCTCCATATCAGTCCGTTTACTTTAGTTTGTTCATATCTATCTATCTATCTCGGTCTATTCATATCTATCTATCTATCTATCTATCTATCTATCTGTGTTCGTATCTCTGTCTGCTTATCTATTTGTTTATCTATCTCAGTCTATACCTATTCCAGTTCGTTCATATCAGTCTATCTGTTTATCTTAGTGTGTTTATATCTATCTGTCTGTCTGCCTGTCTCAGTTTCTTCTTCTTTTTATCTTTTTTTAGTCTGTTCCGATTTCAATCCGTTCAAATATGTCTGTTTCATTTTCGCTATCTATTCATATCTATCTCCCTCCTTCCATTCCTATCGCTCTACTTTAAATGTAAGATTGGCTAACGGCAAAGAAAACAGAAGCAGCAAACATTATAGTAATGCTCTTCAAATTTCCATGGTTCCAGCTTTCTCTGATCTATCTATCCGATTTTCTCTCTCACTATCTCTCCCCCTCTCCTTCTCTCTCTCTCTTTCTCTCTCTCTCTCTCTCTATCTATCTATCTATCTATCTATCTATCTCTACCTCTCTCCCTAATTGTTTATCTTCATTGATAGGTATGCAGGTAGCGTTACAGTTAGCATCACAGAAAATAGATTCCCCTATCCGAGTTCAAATCCCGGCCGATTCTGTTTCGTCTATTTTCAAGTTATTTTTTTAAAATCGACTTCACCCGAGGCAAGGCAGTAAATCATCTGCCTTGCACACACTATTAGTGATGTCTTTGATGAACACCACGTCAAAGCCAGCATTAAAGGTCGCAGCATTAGAGAACTTCGCTTTGCAAACATCATAGATGGTCTAACTGGCAAAGAAAAGGAACTGGTCAGTCTGATAGAGAACCTAAATTAAATATAGTCCAGATCAAACAGAGATTAATGCCGAATAAAAACAAACAATGAGAAAGGGCTTTCAAGCAATATAAAAGTCGTTGGTCATGAACTTGAAATAGTGAGGCAATCCAAATATCTTGGCCTGATTATCAGCGACGAGGACTCTAGAATAAAAATCATTTTAAGAGCAGTACAAGCAATGACAAATGTCGTAAAACCAAAGCTCATCAAGAAAAACAAGAACAACTGTTTGAAATTAAAGATCATTTTGTTATGTTCATTGCCTTCTCAATCTTTCTGCTCACCTGCAAATCTTGGACTTTAATCGCAGAGTTACAGGGAAGAGTCCAAGTATCAGAAATGAGTTACCACAGAATCACCCTGGGTATCTCTTATGTAGACTGCATCATAAATGACCCACTGCGATACAATCATCAGACAAGAATCAGGTCCAATGGACGATCTCATACCAACTGGTTTGGGCACGTCATAAGAGCCATCTTCCAAGGTAAAAACCTTAAGCAAAAGAAGTTACAGGCAGAGGAAAATGAGCAGATTGGAAGGTCATTCACAGACAGGCAGACACGGGCACGCAACCGAGACATTTGGAAGGAGCTGGTCAGGTGTTCGGCTGCACAGCGACGCTACGACCATTACCGGCCGTGGGACTGATGATGATGATGACGATGATGATGATGATGATTGCTGGTGCTAAAATAATGCTCAATGCTAAAAAAAAACAGTTACTATATCAATCAAAATGAATAAAAAGACATCAAGGAAGAATAAGATAGTAACTGTGTTTGTATGTGAATGCATGTGTACATTTACAGAGGCACTTCGTTAGCGGTTAGCAAACTTATCATGCTAAATCAATTACAACTGAATAGTGAGTTCGATCCTCCCTGGGTGTCTCATAATTTCGGCCTTGCGCCGCATCTAAGCTACGCATAGGAAATCGCCATATGCATATTTATAGTAAAAGTGTATTTAAATGCAATGTGAATCGTTATCTTCTTGATTATTGTTCTCACTCTTTAGTAATGTTTCATATTATTTTTCTTTCCCACTCAGTAACCCCATGTGTCTTCAGGACTTTTCTACCTTTCTTGAGATGAAATGATTAAAAAATGTCTTTGTGTGTATAAGTACACGTGTGTGTGTGTGTGTGAGTGTGTGCGTGTGTGTGTGTTACAATGTGTTTGTGCGTGTACATGCGTTTGATTTAAAATATCGCAAATATTTTTTTTAAATAAAAATAAAAACTGATAAGAGAAAATAGCAGCCAAGTTTCTCTCATGTTTTGCTCACAGCAACCAAAACAGAAAGACGTTTAAGAAATGTTAGCCAAGATGCCTTTTTTTTAATTTTGTTTTGAGGGGTCATTAATCATTGGGAAGAGCTTGATCTTTTTAAACAGATGAAAGAAAGAATGTCAAAGAAAACTTGATGTTTTTTGGCAGGATGCGAGTCAATGATTTTAACTTGAGTGCGTCTAATGGAATGAAATAATGCATTTGCCTAAATGAGATTTGATAATTTAGAGACATTTCAAAAGCAACGCTGTTGAACGAAAAGACCAAGTCGCTGAGAGATCTCATTAATCATTTTAATTGCCTTGTTTTGGGTTGTCTCCAAAATTGTTCAAGGTAGAATACACTAAAATAATCAAAACTAAACGTACATCCTTTATTGAAAAATCAATTTTGCTTACGCATTTAAATAACTGATATCTGCAGATAACATAGATTTTACAAGTATGTAAATACATTTTAAGATCATGAATTTATTGCGGTTACCTTATATCTAAAAATTAAATTTCACAACTATTTCAACATTCCGTCCTAGAGCGTTATATTCACTTTCACGCAAATTCCTTAGAAAACGGTATGATTTCATCACTTCTATAGCCGTGATTGGCAACTAGTCTAAGAGAAGAAAAAGCCTAAATTTAAAGCCAATAAGTAACCTTAGCAAAGGTGTATACTACCCCAGCCACTGAAAAAGATTATGGTGCTCGGAAGTGACTGCGATGCGGGATTGCGAATGTTTTCTATGAAAATTTCTCGGACATTCAGGCCGGTAAATGTTGTTTAATACCGTTTATTATAAACAGAGCATTTACTTAAATATTTGTATCTATAAAAAGAATGTATAAACATAAAAATGTCTTAAAAGAATTGTCGGACTTTCTCCATTTCATAATGTGTGAAGTCATTTGTTTACATTTGGATACGCCATGAGCAGATATGAATGTACGTGAGAGAATCATGGAAGATTCAAGTTTAAAGACAGTAAATTCGACCTTGGTAATCGAACGCTCCTCTGTAGCCAAATCGGTTAAGGCAAGTCAAGCTAAATGACGGTTCCGTATAGGATACAGGTTCGAATCCTGTCGGAGGAGTAATATTTTCTGTGAAACTTTCTCGGACATTCAGGCCGGTAAATGTTGCTTAATACTGTTTATTATAAACAGAGCATTTACTTAAAGATTTGTATCTATAAAAAGAATGTATAAACATGAAAATGTCTTTAAAATATATATATATATATATATATGAACTATACTTTATCACATATATGTATGTGTGTGAATGATCATTGAATTCAACACCTAGAGGCAACAGTTTGTTTCATATTAAACGCAATCGTCAGACCACACACACACACACATATATATATATATATATTCAGTTACGTGCAACTGAATATGTTAGCTCTATCACGGATATTGAGCACTTTCCACGAAGTACTGTGCATATTATATATATATATATATATATATATATATATATATATATATATATATATATAGTGCTGGTGTTAATAAAACAATTACTGGATGCAATAAAACTGCGCTATTAAGTAAATATTAATAAATATACATATTATTCCTCACCGGTAGAGTTTGCATGAATCTCCTGAGTCGTGCTATTGGTGATTATATATATATATATATATATATATATATATATATATATATATATATATATATATATATTGAAATATAATTGTCATCTTTGATAATGGCTTATGTAAGCCGAAAGTTTAGATAGGATTAAAAAACATGTATTAATATGGTGTTTTTCTTTCATCTTTCAATGATGATGTCATTAAGCTTATCAGACCATATGAAAGAAATTTACTTAAATTAAATAGACAAAACTTGGCTATATTATTTAATGAAATATGCATCAATATATATATATATATATATATATATATATATATGATAAGAAGAAGACGGAGACATTAATTATCCATTTTGTTTATAATTTTTATTTCGTGAACACCGATATGTTCATCTCATCAGAACGAAAATCTGCTCCACGAATGAAGTACACCGGACGGACACTTTATCTCGGTAGTGGGGAGGGAAGGGTATATGTTTAATTATGGATGGAGAGTGGTTTGACTTAGGGTGTATATACAAGGGATTAGTGTTAGGTTTTCTGTAAGGTATATACACCCTAAGTCAAACCACCGTCCATCCATAATTAAGCATATACACTCATCAATAGAGAATAGAATCAGCATTAACTCCGCTAATAAAGAAGTATTCCAACAACACAGTAATTTTTATAACGCAGCCCTAAAAAATAGTGGATACAAAAATGCTAACATCAATTATAGAAACAATTGTACTAACCAGAAGAAAAACAGGAAAAGAAAAATCATTTGGTATACCCCTCCGTTCAACCAAATTGTTAGTATTAAACTAGGACATAAATTCCTAGCTTTAATTTGGAAAACACTTTCCTACAAATAGTAGATATTGTAAAATATTTAATAAAAACACCCTACAATTAGGTTACAGTTGCACTGAAAATCTAGAAAGTATAATAAACAAACACAATAATAAAATCCTGAATAAACCCCCATGCCAGAATAGTATTAATAAAAACCCTACACTTAAATTAGACAAAAATAGTGAAAAATTAGGTGATTGTAGAAACCCAGAAACTGCCCATTGGAAAATATATGCCGCGTAAAATCTGTGGTATACCAATGTACTATCTCATCCATTGAGAGTCCGAATACTAATATGATATACATTGGGTCTATGAAGAATGAATTTAAAATCAGGTGGAGACAGCATAAAAGCTCCTTCAACAATATTAATAAAAGAAATCAGACATCTCTATCTAAATATTTTTGGCATTTGAAGGAAATGAATAAAACACCAAAAGTAAAATGGAAAAAAAACTGTAGTGAACGAGATAATCAAGTACCCCGGAAAAAAGTTCGTGTTTTGTGTGCGATCTGCCGGGGAGGGATTGCCAAAAAGTAGTCAGCAAAACTCTTATAGCGACTTACCTCGTCAACCCAAGCGAAAAAGAAACAAGTTCGTCGCAGGAGTCGCTATAAGAGTGTATTAATATGCAAATTACGGAACATCCTATCCCGGCTGTCGACGAATGGAAAAAATAGGTTCTGCCGATAAAAGCAGTTGGTGTTGTCGACTCGGTGAAGGAAAAAATTCGGGCAGTTTTGGCTATGGCGTTCGTGAGTTATTTTCCTGACGTGTTACAAGTTATTTTCTTTCTTTGTGTTGTGAAAGCCACAAATTTGCTTTGAGAACGCTTACTCTTCAAGCTATTTCGGCATTTACTTTGTCTCTCGCAAGATGGCGGAAAGACCGTTCGATATAAAACTGATCCCCGAATTCAGTGGTGATACTAGTGGACAGTCTGTGGTTGAATG